GTCTTGTCAGTATAGAACCAGTCTCTTCACTCATCCAGTATAGCATTTTAATAAGACTGTGTAAAGTTATTTAAATTTATTGGTAGAAAGTAGATCTTACCTGTAAAAATCTCGAAGCCCGAAAAATTCTCTTTTTTGAAGATCACATATACTTTTATATGCATTTGCAAGTTTAGGAAAGTAGCTCCTCAGTCTTTCAAGCACTGGATCATCTTGTCCTTTGTCAGAGCATATGCCACTAAAAATGGTTATAACATTTATAAAAAATTAGTGATTATAAATGTACATACACAGCACTCTCTGTAAGATCCTCAATGTTTGGTTTAGTACGTGTTACCATGATTCCTCTGTTCATCTTGGCAGGATCAAGAGCCCAGTTTGATATACCAATGAATGCTACTCTTTTTTCTCTGGAAATACGCTAAAATGTATACATGATTCATAAGCATAAAAATCACTATTGCATGCAATTTACTTGATCATCACTTCCAGATCCTTCAGTTCCATCTTCAAGCAATGGATGCAATGCCTTTAAAGGGAGGTAAGGTGATGCCTCAGCTAAACCAACTTCATCTAGTACAACTACTGATACAAATGTCGATGTATCTCTTTTATCTTGGAAGTTTTTGGCATTCACAAATACTTCAGTAATACTAGCAGGAGTGGATAACCCACTGCATTGGTGAGAATGAAGATGGATCTATTATAAAAAGCAATGAATAATAATCACTATACAGCACAAACTTGTTTGAATTTTCTCATAGTTTCCTTTTTAGAGTTTTTTCCCTTCAATGAATTCTCAATGATTGCTTTAGCTAATGATTTAGAGCTCCCAGGTTTCCCAACCAGAAATAGTGGAACACGCAACTCAATACACACAAACATCATAAATATGTTCTCCCTCAAAGCAGCATTTTTAGCTATATTATTTTCAATTTCCATACAATCTAGCAGTACTTCTTGATACCTTTATTAAAATCATCATTAGCTATTAATAATAAGGTTTCCCACAAAGCAAAGTGAGCTAAACAGCACACTTAATGAGCTGACATTTAAAACAAATTTTAAAATCCACAAAAAATCTAATTTTGATTAGAATCGGCTCAAAGTTGATACACAACCCCAAAAATATATATCTTAATGTATCAGGAAGGAATGTAAATTCTTTTAAAGCCATTTTTGACAAAATTTGACTAAAGACCAAAGGCCTTTTACTGGCCTGATTTTTGAGCAGCTTTTAAAAAATCATAAAAATCTAAATTTGATTGGAATAAACTTAAAGCTGATACACACATAAGGACATGTATATGCATCAAAAAATTATGAATTCTATCCTTGTTTTTTGTCAAAATACCCTGTATAAGGGTCTTTGGCTTTGACAATCCACTGACAAGAAGCTGCATGAGCACTGACTATGCCAAAATCCTGTGGGAAACCCTGATTGACAAGAAATGCTTACTTTTTTATAATTTCTTGATACTCCATGAAATCAACAGGGTGAAGAGGAGGCTTAATGTATTTTAAAACTTTATCCATAAATTCATTACGTGAAGCCATTCGTGCCAAATATGCTACACTAAGTGCCAATAATAATGATTGAGTAACTTTATCCACATTATCATGACCATTAATCTAAAATTAATCATTGCATGACTTGATTGAGTATTACCTAAGTGTTTACATACTTTAAATATTTTAGTAAATTTCTCCCAAAAGTATATAAACAATACAAGAGTTCGATCTACATCACGTAAACTCACAAAACTACATTCATCCTATTAGATAGTAAGAATTATTGTAAGTTACACAATTGAAACGTACTTTCATTTGCTTGGAAAAATCTTGACAATTTGCTAATACTTCACCAATAGCAATCACACAATCATGGGAAATGTTATCTTTTTTTTGAAGCTAAAAAGCTCATAATTTATAGTCATTAATTTTTCTGTTTATATACCTGATTACGTGCCATTTGTAATATATAGTCTCTTTCAGTTTTATATTTGAGTTGTCCAAAATCATAAATTAATGCTTTCATACTGTCAGGTAATTCTATCACTCGATACACTAAATCTCTTAAAGGTATTTCTCCTTTTCAAAAATATAAATAGTATTTGGCATGTTATGATATTGTACCTAATTTTTCTGCATTGTTACTTGCTTCTTCATCTCGCCATCCTAATCCAGCTCCTCTTAATTTTTTTATCATTTCATCAGAATGTCTATACAAAACTAATAATTCATAATAAAAATAAAAGAAAAGTTACTTTCGATATGGATTACAAGCAGCTACAAACTTCAAAAAAGGAGGTACCATTTTTCCTCTGCATCTCCCATCACACATTATTTCCTTTATAAGACTAATGACATCACTCGTGTTAGCTTCATCAAAGAACACTACAGTATCAATCTTATGCTTCCTATTTTCCAATGCAGCAACTTCTGCTTCTTCTACACATTGAATAACATCTTTCTCTGTTGTTCCACCATGAACCTATTGATATATAAAAGTCACGAAGTGTAATACTTATTTTTACTTTAAGGATGAACATATTTTTCATTGGTTTGTTGTAAGTGGCAAATTTACACATGAAACGAATCAAGTGAGTTTTACCACATCCTGTCTCACCCATCAATACAACTGGTATCTGACATCTGAAAAATCACATCAAACAGCCATTATTATTTTTGTTGTAAAACCTGAATCTTGTCTGAATTGCCATTATTTTTGTTAGATTATCTTGAGTAAGAACATAAGTTTCATCTGGAGATGCAATCTTATCGGTTTTAATATTCATAAATTCCAATAATTTTTCAATTAATTCATTTTCAGAGCATTTGCTGTAAATATTGTATCAATAAATTACAGCTTAACTGTTTTACATAAATTATAATTATAATACCTTGTGTTCTGAATGGGAATTTTTACAGATTTTGTGAGAAATTCAAACAATTTTGGAGCTATGTCAGCTTTAATTTTTTCTTGGGTATATGAGTCTAGAAGAACATTCTGAGCATTAAACTGAAGACCAACATGAGTAACGGAAGTTCGGTTTTTGTTGAAGAATAGGTATGGATGCATGCTAAAAAAATAATAGTTAATCACAGCTGTCATTAAAACCTATACCTTTCATCCCAACGCCTTCTGGGTACATGTTGATTAAGAATACTGTCAAACTCAGTACTTTCAGTTGACATTGAAGATGTAGCAAAATCCTATAACAAATATACATGATACAACTATTACATCACACTTACACGTGACATTGTTGTCATGAAATCAACAACAAATGTTCTTAGTCCTGGTACTCTTTTGATTATGTTAGATTGTTCACATGCACTCAACTGTATGTTTAAAAACCAAACAAAATGACGAACTTCCTTCCATGTTGGAATTGAAATATTGGTGTGCCTAGAAATATTTAATTGGTAAAGTACTCTATTAGTTCTAACTTGATAATGGTATCCAGACATTCTTTATCTGACCCTTTTAATGTACCATAAAATAAGAAGTTTTCAAGTTCTGAGTAATTTTTGAGTTCCAATAATCGCAAGTATTGATAAACCCTTTGATACATTGGAGTTTGAAGCTCAATTGCTGTAGAATCTGAAATTATGAGACATTAAATAACTAAAATACATGAAAGCAAGCCAAGCTAACTTTCAGTCATTGAATCACATAATTGTTTGGGAGTTAGACATTTTGTATTAGGGAATAACTTTAATAAGTTTATAGCTCTTCTAGTCTGAGAAAATCTCCACCAAATGTAAGACTAGGAAGAGCTAATATAAAATTTAACAGTGCCATGATTTTACTTTTGTTGAGGGTAATGTTAATTCAATGGCATATAATTGGGAAGGATGGGTTCTCCAAACATTTCCTTTTGAGTCAGTTAATCCACCAAGTATCAAAAGACAGAAAATAATATCATCTATACTTCGGAGCACCTATTATAAAATTCATTTTAATCAAAATTCATTTTAATCAAAAAAATTTAAAATTTCAAAATAATTCCTAAATGATTAATTATAATTTTGCCATGAAGTATAATATATCGTATAAGTAGTTTTTTAAGGGATCTATGTTTTGTGAAATCCACTAAAATTCCCATTCGCAGATTTTAATTTCGTGAATTCTACCACGTGTGCCATGTGGGTACTGTATTAAATTGATTTTTGCGGATTTTATTTTCATAAATCAGGAAGGAATCCGCAAAGTTTGCGAAATTTGAAACCCTAAAAAAAGCCACTTATAGGGTAGCAAATTTTAAGGTTTCTCAGAAGATTTTAGTATAATGCCCATTTTTATTTGTCATAGATCTGTATTGTAGTGCTTATAAAACATGCTGTTTAACTCACTTAGATGCTTTGTCTAAACCTAATTTTTTGAAACCTAAATTTTGAACATAATTTTTATGAATTTAAAAAATACTCTTTTACCTAAAATCGCTTTTTTACACATAAAAAATTATGAGCATTTAATTGGCACTAAAAAATTGTAGATTATGATTAAACTCTGATGCATACTGAGCTATAGGAGTATTATTGGTGCATGTGAGCTATTATAGACAAAGTTTAAACTACATGTAATTAGTAACGCGGTAGCGTTTTAGTAACGCGGTAGCGTTACTAAGTAGGATTCACCCCACTTCAAAATGGCTGCCACGACTTTTGCAGCCTTGCTATACCAGGAAAACGAGCTCCTATGCTTACCAGACTTTATAGAGGACCTCATCTTGACCAGAGGACTCCATTGGTACCACTAGTGTGGCTCTAAACCTTGTCTGAGAGAAAAGTCAAAAATCCGGAAAACGGCCGTTTTGTTCAGCCACCTTTTTTCATCTTCATCATCATCATCATCATCATCAAGTCCTGTCAATCCAGTTGTCGGTCTGTATCCAGTGGCGTATCTAGACTTTTGAAGATGGCGGGGCAAAGATGGCGCGCGAAGCGCGCCGAAAATTTTTGCGGTTAATTAATATTCATAATGGGCGTGTCTTTAATTAAAGTACGTCTACGCCCACAATAATGATGATGAAGTTGACTACCGTACGCGTCTTAATTTTCGAGGTGTATTAAATTTCGTTATTTTCGTGCTCACCTTAAATCCACGAAATTTAAACCACCTCTAATGCCATTCTATTGTATGTAGACTATGGCCAGAACACGAAAATTAGCTCACACGAATATTAACTTTTGAGCAAATTTCATTGAAAACACGAAATTTTGAACCCTCGAAAATTTGGACGTATACGGTATATCGGACTAGCTCGGCTTGCTCTTTTCTTCTCTAAAGTTCTCTTTTGAGTGTTTTCTTTATTTATTGTGTTCTCTGACCTTAATCAAGATTGGAGATATCTTAAATTTTTAACTACAGTAAATTAGAAGGCAATATTAATTTTGATTCAGTAGCAGTTGGTAGGGCAAATGCCCTACCATGCCCTACCTTGGATACGCCACTGCTATCATACACAGGGTAACATTGTTGCATGCAACTTTGTGGTTACTTTAATCTTGTTGCCTCAAGTTGAGCAACCACAAAGTTGCATGAAACACTGTTGCCCCTTGTATGATGGGCTTTACAATAACAGAGAAAAGGGGTGGAGTGGACTGGATCATGGATGACAGGAAGTAACCTAAAAAGTTGTCATTTTCTGAAGTGGAATAAATCAATTCATGGTGCATAAATTTTATTATAATAATAATTATTATTACTGATTGGACTATTACTTTTGATTTACAGGAAAAGGTAAATAGATCTAGTCCTAATTATTATGAGTGCTTGTTCATTTTTATTATATGTATACATAATCTATGATACTAAAAACACAAACTCTTCTTTGCAACATGATAGGAAGTAAGTACT